TTGTTGTGTTGAAGAGATCACCGCCCCTCCACACCCCGTGACAGTTTAGACCCACAGAGTACCATGTATTCCTGGTGTGTGCCGTGTGCCACTATCTGAGGCTTTGTACTCATAAAGGAGTGGTTCATCAACAACACCCTGACCCATTTGCACCCATCCTGGCGGGTGCATGGATGCCGTGGGTTAGATCACGGTTTTAAAACTGGGGAAGATGGCCTGGGCGTGCGGGTGGCTCACGCCTATAATCCCTAGACTCGTGGGAGGCCGAGGCAGGAGGACGTCGCTTGAGCGCTCTGAGGAGTGTTGGCAGCAGCTTGAGCGAAAGAGCGAGTGCGTGTATCGCTACTTATAAATAGAAAGAAATTAGTGACCAAACAACTAAATAGTTAGGGAAAAAAATGCAGGCCGATGCCATGGGTGGCCATCCGTAGTCCCAGCGTCTCGGGGGTGATGGCAGCAGTGATCGCTTGAGCCCAGGCAGTCTGAGGTTGCTGTGAGCGAGGGCTGAGCCACGGCGCTCTGTTAGCCCGGGCAACAGTGGACTCTGGTCCAAAGACTAAATAAATAAAAAACTGGGGAAACTGAGGGTTCTGAGCTGTCAAGCGGTACTGGCCCCGAAGCCATCAGGAGCAAGACAAAACAGGGACTGGCAAGGGCCCAGGCTAGCAGCAGGAGCCACCTCGCTGACCCAGCAGGTTTCTCTGTGGCACTTGCTGGCCTTCCATGTCGTAGAACAATTCTCTAGGCAAGGACCCTACCAGGTTTCTGTTTCCAAGGGGTTTTAAGTGAGAAACAGTGGCAAAGTCCATTCGGGTTCTGCCCCCACCCCCCACCCCAGACAGATAGGACGTTCTATTTTCTGGGAGAGGCATATGGAAAATAACGTCGTTCTGCGCTGAGCTCAATGCTGGAAGCAGTTTGAAGAGGAATAATTATGGGGACTGACTTTGGCTAAGAAGGTATCGACGGACTGCGTTAAAAAACATAAATGCCTCATTTTATGTATCCTGAGATGGACTTGAGCGACCATTAAAAAATTCATACGTAAGGAAAAAGGAGATTCGTTCAGGCTCTGGAGCAGAAGGGATGGGCGGCAAGATGCAAGCCGAAGAACCGAGGTGCAGTCGCCCTTCCCCATGGCCGCACGCGAAGTAATGCAAACGCAGCCGCCAAGGACGAATTCCGAATTCGAGACGGCACAATGCACCAAGACGCCATGGATGGCAATTTTAAACCTTTGACCCCCCTGGGCCGTCTTCTGAGCTTTTCGGTTTAAAATGCAGTTCTCAAAGTGGGGTGCCGGGGCCAGCAGCCTGTGCGTCACTTGGGAATTCGTTAGAGACTCGACTTCCCGGTTCCACGCCAGACCTCCCGAGTCGGGAACTCCAGGGTGGGATCCGGGAGCCTGTGTTTTGGGGCGATTCTGGGGCAGGTGCAAGCGTGAGACTTGCTGGCCCGTAACAGAATCACCGAGTGAGCAGCACTGAGCACCTGCCGCCCTCCTGCCAATTCCGACCCCAACACGGGTAACTCGAGAGTCCCGTCTTTGCTCCTGAGTTTGTTTTTTTGAGACAGAGGCTCACTCTGGCTCCCGGGCTAGAGTGAGTGCCGTGGCGTCAGCCTCGCTCACAGCAACCTCAATCTCCTGGGCTCAAGCAATCCTCCTGCCTCAGCCTCCCAAGTAGCTGGGACTACAGGCATGCGCCACCACGCCCGGCTAATTTTTTCTATATATTTTTAATTGTCCAATTAATTTCTTTCT